CTTTCTGGAGGAAAGAAGTCGTAGGCACCCCGCGACCGTAACTCAAAACAATTCCGGACGCGGCGTAAATCATGAAAGGGTTGACCACGCGGCCGAACATATTTCCCCGTCCATGTCGGCCTTATCCAGGAACACGAGTCCGCTTCGGGATATTTCAGTGTCCCCCAGGATAGCCAAGAAGGCCCTCCTTCGTCCTCGACGGGTCGTTCTCGATATTACCATATTTCGGGGATTTTTCATGCGACCACGGAAAGGCGAGGGGTAGGTTCCTCCCTAAGCTCCTCTTCGTCGGCGCCTCTTCTTCTCCCCGATTTCCTAGATGGCTATCATTGGGCTTATCTCGGTTTGAATCGGTAGCACCAAACCGATCCCGGTTTACCGACGAGTCCGACAAACGCGCCGACCTCCACTTCGTCATCCACCCTCGAGGGGGTTCACCTGGACGTCCCCGAAAAATCCGGTAATTGAGAAGACCCACCATTTTACTTCGTCGACCTCTTCGGGGGAAATGCCGACTTTGACGCGCGCACGTGACCCCACGTGTCATATTCAAATCGGGGGTAACGTCAAAAAAAAATGTGATATCTGGAAAAAGAAATTCCCACCCTCGACGTAAATATCCTATCTCGGAAATTGCCACCCCTTTCGCGATCTTTTGTCAATGTACATGTATCGCGTAAATATTTGTATATTTGTTCTAGTAACAAGAAAATATTTGACACTCGATACGAACTCCCACCCTCGACGTGAACATCTCACCCTGGAAATAGGCACCCTTTTCGTGCTCTTTACACTCGGGAGGATACATATATGATATCAGGAGATGCGTATCATGATATACGGCGGATAAAGGGACTAAGTGCGGATCGTATTACTGTTGGGTAAAAAGTGCCATAATCGAGCCGCTTTTTTTTTTCTAGCCATCGATCCACTGCAGGGCACGTCAAATGGTCCCGGTGAATGATGGCACGGTGTGATAAAAATTGAGAAAGCAACGAGAGGTCACGGGGCACTGGAGGAGGAGCGATCGAGATATGAAATATGGAGGAGGATCGGCGGCGAAACGGAGCCCAGAAAGTCGAAATACTTTCGGATCTTGTAAGAGGCTCGAGGACGAAGAGGCGCCCCGCGGTCGAGCGAGCCTGATTGTCATTTCTCTAATGACCACGAGACAAGATCTCTGGAGAAGATCGACTCGGGGATCCCTTTCCTCGGATCTTGGCGCTGAATCTACAGACTTTTGCGTGTCGCGGCCATCTCGTCGGCTCCTTTGCCTGGAATCGTCTGTACCGTGACACTTGCCGGCATTTTCCAGGTGACGAACGACCGAGCCACCTTAACTCATGCTTGTCAAGTCGAGGGGCTTAAGGTGACGCGAAAAGAACGAACGAATGAACCCTGGGCGTCAAATTATTTATACAAATGTCTGGGCGCATCGGAAACCTTCCAAGAATTTTTCTCTCCCACCTGGATCAAATTACCAGTACTAGTTATTTAATATACCTTACGCTACATACATGAAAATAAATGAATACACATTAAAACATATGAAAATGTCAAGATATTCATAAGACTATCCTCTAAAATAGGTGCACCGAATCCTTCGAAACTTCACAATGAATTTTTTTATTTATCCCAGACTAGAACCTAAGACAGGGATTGTTTTTTAAATAGTCTCACGTTTTGATATGTATATAGAATGGCCCTTTCGTAACACCTTAAGCCTTCGAGAGCGTCATTTTAGAACACATAATAGATGTACTAGGTGTAAGGGAAAGTATTGTCGTTTTTTGAACGCGTACACTTCTTACAAAAAATCGACAGAACTTTCCCTTACACCTAATATATTATTACCTATCAGGTTGGACCCGGATGATTTGGGCATGTTAAAATTTTCCACTAATTCGGTATTTCCCGGTGGTTACCTCGACCAAAGCGACGGAGGCGTCTCCAGGAGCGAATACCCGGTAACCGAGTAAGCGAGTACAAGCTCTCTCGACGGGACGCAGCCGAGGGTGCCGGGCACCCAGGGTGGACGCGCGGACGCCGGCGTCGCGGCGCTCACCTGGCGTCTCCTCTCTTGGCCGAATGAAACGTCGCCGTTTACAAATTAAAGCCGCCCTGGGGTGAGTAACGGGGATATCGCGAGAGAGAGTAACGAGCCGGCATTTACTTTGTCCCATCCGCGTGGTCCGCCGTTGGGTTCCTCGTTCCCTCGGGAGATCGCCTCCTCGGGCATCGGCGTCCCTCGCAACCACCTATGCGATTAATCGAGACGTTCCCCCGCGTGATTAATTCGACGTAATGACTGCATCTCGGCTGACCGATGACCCAGGCCGAAACAATGACCACCCTTGCCGGTTCCTCGGTGCCGAGCACCGAGTCAACAAAGTCCTGAGGGACTCTCGTCGGGTATTGTTTATTAGAATTTTTTAGTAAGAAGAAAAATTCCCTCCAGGGTGGAAGAGGTCTGACGAGGTGTGGGGTTCGAGGGGATGCTAGATGATGCCTTCGCCCCCCAAACCGTCGACCTCCTCCTCTCCCACTCCAAAAAATAAAATTCATCGCACCAAAGGAATATTTCCTTAATTCCAAGAATAATTAATATCTAATAAATTGCCACGATCCGGGAGAAATGTCGCGTCCAATTTATTAAGGCTTATCGGAGTTAAGGAATTATTATTGGAATTTTCAAAATATATCTTTATCAATATTCAAGGGAATTTTCTTTCGGACCGATGAAATTCTTATCTCAGTGCTAGTACGGGATAATCCGGCATCATGATTTATCATTTAACGTCAATTTCTTTTTTATTGGATAACCAACGTTTTAGGAAGACTCGAAGACCTCGGAGGGTGTCAGGAGTCCTGGTTAAGCGGAAGCCGCCACTGGTGTCGACATCGATAAGCGTCGATTATTCCTGACGATCCTTCCAGGAAGGTCCTCGGTTTTATTGCCGGTTGAGCGCATTGCTGAGGTATAATCTCTTCGGAGCTGGTTACGGATTAGCCGAGCAAGCTCTAACGGTGCTGCCCAGTCTCGACCCTCTTTTCCATAGCTGGACTCATTGTTGACCAAATCGATCTCATGACCCGGGTTTGCTCCTGCAGGACTCACGGACTCTCCCGAACGTGCGATCCAATTAAATTTACCCGATGCCCGCCGTGCGTGTCAGGATGTCCCGAAGGACTGTCACGATTATCCAAGGATGATCCGTCGATCGCTGATGGACGTCCATCGATCCTGGACACCGATTTTCCAGTCGTGATCCCAGGATCGACGAAGAGTGACAGACGTGCCCTGAACTTTCAGGCAAAATCTGGAGACACGATCCAATCATACACGGAGAAAAATAAGAGTCTTAAGGTGACATGAAGATATACATAAAGATATAAGTTTTAGATAATTAATCGAGGTAATTTCACCTTTATGGACATTTGTCTGTAATTTTTACGGATTTAAGTGACGAAGGCTTTATCGTAACGCCAAGCTAAACAATCAGCTGTCCTTATTAAAATCGGTGGATTTTACAGATTTTGTGTATAAGTTGAATAGATTGATTTTTTCCCCGGGTGATGGGGAAGTTCCTCGTAGAGTTTCTAAAATTTAAATTGCATAGAGGTTTACCAGCTCGAGAGGGCGATTTTAGGGATGGTCTCGGCGCCTCCGTTTCCACTCGGAAATCCCGAGGAGCGAGGTGTCCTCCGACCTTCCAGGCACACCTGTGAATAGGAGGAGAGCGCGGAAACAGGTGTCAGGAGGATTTGCGGCTTCGGTAAAACGGTGAGCCCTGGATATCCGCTTTCCCCTGGATAATCTAGATGACGCCCCCCGAGGGACAAGACAATTACCCCGATGGAGGGGCCAGGGTTCGAGTAAAGCAGGAAGACAAGGCAAAGAGCGGAGACACTTTCAGGTACCATTGTCTTTCCGTCGTCCCTTTCGACCGCTCCTTTCCCCGACCCCTTCGGCATTGTCATCGGGGGAACTCGGGGAAAAACCGAGCAATCCTCGGCTAATTTTCCGACCGAGGCATTATTTGTTTATAGACTAGTCGGAATAGTGGTAAGTAGTGGTCCGTAGGTGTCACCGTCATTAATAATTCCCCTAACCCTGGAGTTAAGTCCTTCTCTTTAAATGCCTCTCCTTAGAGACTTTTCGGACATTCCAGCCCATCCACCCCCTTCCGTTCCAGGTCGACGTAATTAAATTAACTCTACAGTGCCTCGATCGTTGAGACTTTGACGTACACCCTGTGACTATAAAAAGTCCCTACCTCGAGATGTACAGGTTTAGAAGAGTACCACCCCCCGCCTTAAAATAATTCCTTTTTTTCTCGATCGGGATTGAATTTTTTTTCCGATCATGAAATACTAAAGTAAAGTATGAGTGTAGAAAAAATTCTGTTAACGGTGACTCTTCCGAGGGAAATCGGTTTCGTTGAAGTCAATCAACCCGGGAGAGGTAAGGAAAGAAAATGGGGGAAACAGGGTAGAAACTCGAGGGCGTCTCTATCTTAGAGGTCGGCGCAGTAGGGTCGCGATCGCGGCGAGATCCTTGTCGGGATAGCGGCCGATCCCACGGGGCGCGGCTTGCGGAAACGCCGGGAGAGGCGTGTCGCGGTCATGCGCCGTCCCGGTCGCTCCGCCTCGAGGCGCGCGGGCCGTCTGCCGGCGACCGAATGCTACCACTACTCGGCTACCTCTCGCCCATGCGGGTCCCGTCGGCGGGACGGGGGGCTCCGATTGGCCCGCGCGGCGACCAATCTGCGCGCGCATAGAGGCGGCCCACGTGACGGTGGATAGTAGGGGCAGGGAGGGCGGGCCGGGCGGGGACCCGCCGAGTGGCCCCGCGGCGGGAGTCCCCGATCTCAGTCCCGCTGTGAACGCAGCAAGGCACGCAACGGATTTTCACGGTGCGCGCGAACCGACCGACTCGTGCGCCTCCAGTCAGCGCGGGGCGCAGTCCAGCGGGCACGCGCGCACCCTCGGGAGTCGCGGTCGCGCGGTCGCGCCGGCGGCGGCCCGCAGTCCCGCTGTGCACGCGGCGAGGAGCGCACCGCGGGCTACCGAGACGCGGCGCGTACTCGGCCAGGAGCGGAGAGCGACCGGGGGAAGCGGCTCGCGTCGCGTCGGGCCTCGCGATGCGAGAGGGCGGTCGGCGGCGAGTCCACCGGAAGGACCTCTAGCCGGAGACGACAGGGAGCAGCCACTAGGACTATCCGCAGGATGATGAACGCGTTCCTGGACACCGTTTCGCACCACCCGCACCACCTGGCGAACCTGGGGATCAAGCTGTCGCCGGGCGGCGAGGGTGCGGCAGGGGGCGCGGGGGTGGCCGACGGCGGCGGCCCCGGGGTCCAGCCCGTGGCGGGCGAGGCGCCGCAGCAGCACCACTTCCACCCCCAGGGCTACCCACCGCCCCACCACCCCCACATGGCGCCGCAGATGGGCCACCACATGGGACACCCCGGCTACGCGGCTCGCGACTTCCTTCTGAGGCGGGAGCACGAGTTCAACGCCGCCGCCAACCCCACCACCCCCGAGAGCGGCCTCGGACTCTTCACCCCGCTCCACCATGACGGAACCGCCGCCGGCATGCAGCAGTTCCCGCACCACCCTGGCCAGCACCCCCTCGCCGGGCACTACCCTGGTCCCCACTATCCCCAGGACGGGAGGCTACCTCCGCCGCATCATCACCAGTACCTCGCCGCCGCTCCTCACCTACCTGCCTCGATTCATCATCAGCAACACCCCGCGGTCTCGCACCCTGGACACCATCCCCATGGGGCGTTCCTTAGGTACATGAGGAGCGGCGCCACCCCTGGCGCCGGGCCTGGCCAGCGCCAGGAGATGTCCTGCATGTGGGTCGACCAGGACGCTCCGGGACCTGGGTCTGGCCGGAAACTGTGTGGGAAATTGTTTAACTCTCTTCACGATATCGTCACCCACCTGACCGTCGAACACGTGGGCGGCCCGGAGTGCACCACCCACGCGTGCTTCTGGCAAGGGTGCTCCAGGAATGGACGCGCCTTCAAGGCCAAGTACAAACTCGTCAACCACATCAGGGTGCACACCGGGGAGAAACCGTTCCCTTGCCCCTTCCCTGGGTGCGGCAAGGTCTTCGCCAGGTCGGAGAACCTCAAGATCCACAAGAGGACCCATACCGGTGAGTCTTCGAGGGGGGTGGCGTTTATCCGTTCGTACATGGAAAGTGAGTTCGGTTCCGGTCAAGCTGGGACCAAGAAGGTGGCACCTAGTGCCACCTTGCCACCTTACCGGAACACCTCCTGGGTGGGGTATGCGATCTGGTGACGGAAAGATGTTTGGAAACAACCCCATGGGTTCATATTTTTCATTCGGCGTCCATTTTAAAGGACGGAGAAATCTCAGATGTACACGTGTATTTATGCGCAATTAAATGGCACATCCCCTGAGAAAGGAATATCGAGCCAAAGAGGTATTCCTTTGAATAGCACCGAAGAAACGTTTTAATGATTAAGCAATTATTTACGTGTAATCGAGAGATCCGTAAATTGGCCCTATCGGTCTGAGATGATAAGCCTGTCCGGTCTGGTTCGGTTTTATTTAATATATTTTCGTATATATATTTTTTTCTTCCTCGGTGTATTTAATATGCGAGGCATCTTGCGTGGAAAGGATCCGATCCTGCCAAGCTTTTTTATAGGGTGGTTCCAATAGAGCATCCTGTCGCGTTCCTTCGGTTCAGGGAAAGGGGGAAGACCGGGAATTGTCTGTCGGAAGAGGGAGATATCGAACGCAGGAAATACTCGGATAGGACGTACCGTGGAGTACGTAAGTCACGTGGCTCACCTGTCGGGTGCACTTTTCTCGCGGGACATTTTTCAAGACGCGGGTATGTCGTATCTTCCTGCCTCGGCGGGGAATATCTCTAGAGGGGTTAATTTAAAAAATGGAACGGCTTCTCTGGTGACGAGTCGTCTCATGCCAAGGGTCAGGATCGAGATACAACGAGAGCGTCGAGGTTCTTTTTATCCGGGGTTACGTTTTTCACTCTCGGATTTTGACTTCTTCTGGGACGAGGGGGCAATTTTAGGGGAAAACCGGGAAGATGGGCGTCTAGAAGGTGCCGGGGCGGGTCCGTTGGGTATTTTTCGGGGTTTCTCGGCGTCGCGACGCCTAAAATAAGACGCCGGTATTATTCCGTCCACTCCGCCCCGGCGCCTCGGGTCGTTCGGGCATAATCAAGCGCCTCTTTACGACGACAAGAATTTCGGGACGCAATTAAGAAATTACCGGGCCGTATATCGTGGGACTTTATGCTCCTCGGGTGGACATTGTATTTACATATTCGGACGTGGCGCCTCTTCGTGGTCGACGGCCGACGGCTCGACCGACGTGGCCGATCGCTCATAGAGACTCTCGATTACTCCTTTTCTCTTCTTCTTTACCTTCCTCCTCCTCTTTTTATACATCTCCTCTCTCCTTCGAGCCCGGGGACTTTTGTGGCGAGGCATCCTGGATTTTAATGTCCCTAAGGACTGGCCGACAAAAAGAAATCCCTCTTTACGACCGATCGACGTCGATCGCTTCTCCTCGACGATCCAACGAGACCCTTCCCTCGATTTCTGCAAGGGGGGGAACCGATTTCCAAATTTCCCTTTTTTACGGTACGAGGCTTTACCCTAATTTAGTTAACACCGATGTCTAGGAAATATCCTCTACCCGGTTTTCCGCGCCACGGGACGAGATAACGCGTTTGCATGTCCCGGGCCTATCGGCGTATTTATACCCCGGCGGGCACGCGTGCTCGGTATATCACGCGTGATTAAATTTCCCTATCGGCCATCCTTACGACACCCTTGTACGCGTAACTATCCCGGGTACTCTTCCTCGGTCTCTCCTCCTACCCCCAGGAAGCGACGAGGAACGACGTGAAATCAATTTCCAGCGTTGATCATTTTCTTTTATTTAATTGTCTCTTATCATCCGTTATCGTCGCCTCCCTGTCATCTCCTGTCCACTGTCGCCCTGCTTGGGATTTTTATTTCCCACCTCACCCCTCAATTTTATCCACCGCCACAATGTTTTCACCCCATTTATTTTTTTTTTATTTCCATTCCTGGATTTTCTCCCCTTCCCCCCGTGTTAAAAAAAAAAAATACCGCGCCTATCGTGCGTCACGGTCGTCTGTCCTTGCGACTCCGGAAGGCGTGCACGCGTGCTCGGCACATCACGCGTGATTAAGCTTCCCCTCCCGGTTATCATCCCCTGTTCCACCCTCGCGACCTATCGCGCGACTCGGCCCTCCTTACCCCCGTCCCTCGTGGGTGTTCCCTTTAACCGGGGCGAGAAGCGACATTCATCCCCCGCGCCCTGACGCGTACCCCCGTGAAACGCACCCCTCGCGCACCGGGTTGCACGCGATCCTCCTACGGGGGCGCAGCCACCCCTTGCCGACGTTTTCCCGCCTCGTACATACGAATTATCGCTTTCGAAAGCACTCGGCCCCGCCAGTCGGACGATTGGCTCTTTGTCTCCGACATGGACCTGCGTCATAACAGAGACCTAGTGTTGATCAACATTTATTCGGGCAATATCATCTGGTGTAATTCGAATTTCGGGTATCTTGCGCCGAGTTGAATCGACGCATATTCAGTGCCGGTCATTTCCACGACTCACTTTAACAGGGTTTTTTTCATTACACAAGGATTTTCCAAATCTTTGTTTCATTGTCAGAGAAATCATTAGAGACGTTTATCGTTAGCGATGACTGTTGGAAACTGCCGTTCGTCCTATTTTTTTATTTTTTTTTTCCTTTGCTAGCTAGGCTAGGCTCATTCAGTGCCGGTCATTTCCACGACTCACTTTAACAGGGTTTTTTTCATTACACAAGGATTTTCCAAATCTTTGTTTCATTGTCAGAGAAATCATCAGAGACGTTTATCATTAGCGATGACTGTTGGAAACTGCCGTACGTCCTATTTTTTTATTTTTTTTTCCTTTGCTAGCTAGGCTTGCTAGGCTTTTGTAGTATTTACCCTTTTTGGAGCGAGGGAATCGTGAAGAAATTTTTGATAATGTCGGAGGGGTAGGTCGGGCTTCGAGGCCGGGACGCGCAGATGCGAGCGGAAGGAACGCGCGACCATTAGGGCGAATTGATATGCATGATAAAGCGACCGAGCGTCCCTATTTCTATTTTTTTTTTCCTCTCTTCTTTCCCGGGGTCCTTCGGGAGCCGGGCACGCGCTGTCTCGATTGGCTCCCTCCACAATGGGATTAGCCCCGCGTGTCTCTCATTGGTCGGGATTCTAGGGGGTTAGCGCCTGGAATAGGGGATGATACGGGATGAGTCCCGAGGGCTGGCGGACTAAGCCCAGGGGCGAGGGACCGGGACCGGGAAATGCAAATGGCCACTTTACCGACCGTGCCGGTTCCGCCTCTCGATTTTTTTTCTTCCCTCCGGTATCCCTCAGGAGCTCCGCTTTGTCCCCGCTCTTTGACCACCTTGAGGAAATTCTCGACACCTCTCCCGTGGATGAGAAATCCCCGATCAAGGAGGAGAATATCAAAATTGACCTGGGGAAACGATCGGTGGAATTAATTCCGAAATGAAGCTGAACGCGAACGGCACGTTTCTCTTCGTGACTTGTCCGTAGATTTTTCTTTCCTTCTTATTATATTTTTTTTTTCGCCATTTTTTACGGCCAGGAAATCCGATTTATGGAACCCGCCACTCGTGGACGTTTAATGGTGGGAACCTGGATTGCAAAACAATGGGACCATCGCGGTCTGTATACCCCTAGGTAATATTTTCGTGTGAAAGGAAAAAAGGGGAGAAAAATGTGGGGAGGATGGAAAAGTGGGGAAAATCGAGGCCGCGGGTGTATTTCCTATTTTCGGAATGATTTCCCATCTTTCATCGAGTGCTCGTTTCCTCGTTTTTATACGAGGAAATCATTTCGCCCATCGAAGGGATCCCACCCTGTCGTCGCGCTCGCCAATGAGGGCATTTATCTTCCCGGTCTCTCTTTTTCTTCTTCGTTCCTTCGTCTTTTTTTTATCCGCATCCAAGGGGGTTGGCCTCGCTTTATGGCGGCACACGGGGGGATGCAGCTTACGAGTTACGGGTACATGGACGTGGAAGCCGAGGAGGACGCTTATAGGTGACACTGGGTCGATAAGGGACGAGTCCTTTTCGCGCCTGCACCTTGAAAACCACCCCAAAAGTGCGTCCTCCCTATATTTGTACACGCACTCTTACGAGGTATAGACGACCTCTCGAGGAAATTATTTTCCCTCCACCCCTCGAATTTATTTCTTCCCCCCCATTTGCCGGGAAAAAGAGGGGAAAAATGGCGCCTCCTCCACTTGGCCGCGACATCGGCGCCATTTTGTTTAAAGCGACACGGCAGAAAGTGACGAGGAAAGGCAAGGAAAACTGATATTTCAAATGTCAATTAGTAGACACACCTGGAGCGTCCTTCCGGTAACGCAATGATACTTTCGATATTTTATGTCCGTGGTCTGGCGTTTGCCTTTTTATTTTTTCCGTTCTCTTTTCATTTCAAGGAAGGTCGAACCTTCAGGGCCTCCACTCGTATTTTACCCGAAATCGATTCGGACTGAAAGATTTGTCATAAACCCACGTGGCTCCAGGCAATATGTCGGCCGGCCTAATAAAGGGAGTGAAATCTTAACCACGTTCGAACCCTCCAGCGGGTCCCGAGGGACACCCGGGAGTCCTGGGTCACGCCTCCGATCTGCCAATATCTTCCCAGTGGTCAATTAAAGTCAAATAACCCCGGGGTCGATTGACCCGTCGTTAAACCCTTGACCGATTGTTTAATCACCCTCTCTGTCGACCTAAATCATCGGCTCGGTGAAAAATTGACTGGATAAAAAATTTTCACTCCACTTTTGGTCCAACGAAAAATCCCCTCCACCTCTCGGAGGAAAATCCCGATTCGGTGAATTTTAATTTTCTGTACATTAGTGTCTTTTTTTATTTTAACGAGATGACGTAGGTGAATGTCAGGCTGAAGACGGAAGAGGGAAATCGTGGGGTCTATTTTAGGGAGAGTTTGGAGGGACCACGAAATTAGACCAGATTGAGATATCTTAACCGCGACTTCTGGAGGCACGTATGATCTCGGTGGGATTTCATTTAGGGGCAAAGTCACAATT